TTACCATTAATGTTGGGTCCTCGCTCTTCACCACCCCTTGTCTGGAGTGCTGTTTTTCTTAGCAACATGGGTTCGATATCTTGCCCAAGGATACTTCAACATGTAGGTGAAAAGAGCAAGGGGATCAACCCACCGACCTCTCGACGAGTAGGTGGATGATTTAAGTCCGATATTTCCTGGAATATCTGACACCTCCTCTATCAGTCTACATTAAAGCCTACCCCAAGTCATGCTTTAGCTTAGAATCTTGATACCAGCTATAAAAGTGTGTAAATGTTTGTAAAAGTCCAACACAGACATACTGCAGAGCTATCCAGGGCTGCTTCCTCAGTGACTATGTTGAATTATTGAATGAAATCCTGAAGCTGCAGTAGCAACAAGATAGATTCGGGTGAAACAACCTGTTAAAAAAGGGACATTCCCTCATCAGAGAACCGCAAATGTTACTTGATGTGGCGTTACAAACTATGTCACACACTCTTGAAGATTGCAGCACACGCAAAATCCATTTTCATGTACAGAAATAGCTGATTCCTATCGTGGCTTGGAGGCTTATTTAACCATGCTGTGCTCTCACTTTATATTCACAAACGCAGCGCCTCCCCCATCGTCCTCCTTTATCTTAACTTCATTTTCTACATGAAATGCTCCGGAGAAATCAGATTTTTAAATGAGCAAGTTGCACAATTAAGCCGAGGAGTTGAGGCAAATAATAAAAAACAATTCCCTTTTATCACTTGCATGTATGCTTCGCTCAACCGTGAAAGAATCAAACGCCGCAATCAGCCCGAACGCCCGTGGAAACAGCAGTGTGTGGGTATGCACGAGGCGAGGCTCGGATATCACAGAGCATCCACAAAACCCAAAGAAAAATAAAGCTAGTTGTTCTCAAAGCCAGATCATTTATTTTCACATATTGTTTAGACAGCCGTTTCCAGCGGTCATAATCTCACCTAACAGCTTTAAATGCCTTTTTAATGGCGAGCCCAGCCCCCCTCCGCCCCCTCAGCCCACAGAGCAGGCAGCGCCGCCTTTACAAGCCTACACGCAGACTTCTGTTCTCTGCCCCTGACAGGAAACCTCGGCATCCTGCCCCTGATGGACTTAGACTGCACTTCGGAGTAGCATCAAAAGAAAAGTGGGAGACAGAGAGCAGCTCTGCCCTGCCCTGCCCGGCACCTCACCGCACCACGCCTCTGGGATCGGGGCGTGAAGAATTCCAGGGAAAACCTACAGCAGCGACGAGGCCGCGAACAAACGGGAGCGAGCTTGCTGGAAAGAGGCCGAGGCTCTCGCAGTATAAACCCCGACCTGTGCTTTGTCAAACACCTAAAGGGAAACCTGCTGTTTTTCTAGCAGGAGTTTCAGCAGAGTGGGCCAAAAGCAGCACGTCTGAGCCTTGATGTGAAGTTTAAGAAGCAGTGAGAGGCGTAAGACAGGCGGATCATTTTCACTAATAACAAAACGCATCTTGTGTGGTCATATATGTGGTGAAATGCAGCGCAGGCCTAATTACTGATTGCCCTGCAAATTATTTAAAAAGGTTTCATGTGATTCTCCCAAACGATCCATAACAAGAGTTGTGCAGCTTCAAGCTGCCAGCAGTATTCGTGCTTCGCGGCGGGACGCCGAATTAAAGCACACACTCCTCAGTAAACTGTGCAGTTAGTGCTGTTTCATATGCGAAACCCGAGGCTTACGATCGTGGCAATGTTTCCTAGCGCCCTGCACGATCATAAAGATACCCTTCCCTTTCTTTTTCCTACACAATGGAGTCGTGATGGCGCTGCAAAAACACTGCCGCACACTCTCGCGGCATCTCTGATCGCCTTATGCGATCAGATCGAGGCAGCGATCAGAGGCTGCTAAAGAGAGGCATCAGATACAGAGGCGGGGTAGTGCCACTTCAAAAGTCTGCACTGTTTTAATCTGACTCTATCGGTTCATCCCCTTGCAGGCGAAGATGTGGGGGATGTTGGGGAAGAAGGCGATGGGTTTTGAGGGTCTATGACTGGACGCAGGCTGGGGGTGGTTTCCAGTTTCCACTTCACTCTGGCAGCACTTTGACAATTATCTCCTTTACGCAGCAGCCTCTTTTTTCACTCCTATTGAAGAACCTCGCCTGAGCTCCGAAGCCTCCCAGGAATGCCAGAGAGAGAGTGGAAGGGGAATCCAATGGGGATAATCCCAATTTCAAATGGAGCTTAGTGATATCCCCCTCCTCCCTTTCTTCCTCCATACCCCCCCTCCCTCGCCCTCCTCCTGTCTGGCACAGATAACTCATCCCTCTCTCAACACTGTGCATGCGCAGACAGTAACTCACGTCGCCCTCTAAAGTAATAATTAGCATGTCATCCAGTCGTGTCAGTTGGAGAGCCGGGCCTTCTGGGGAGGCTCGCAGCATGGCGAAAGATATATTTTGGTTGGGCTGCACTGAGGTCAGAGGAAGCTGGGTTACTGTTAGAGGAGGAGGTGTTGACACGCAAACGTGTGGACACTTTGGTGTAAGCACACGCAGGAAAAAGAAAGGAAAAAGTGGGGGGCAACAGCAACCAACCTCTGCTGGTGTGGTCCACATGAACTCTCCTACTTGTGCCCCAAAAAGCTGAATCTGTTCATCTGAATGATGTGTTCTCAGTGAGGATGTCCAACGCAACGTCCAAATGGACTCCCTTCGACTCTCTCACGGGTATTCCTGGGAGGTTTCAGAGCTTTCCCACTGAAAACACAACATCCAGATGAACAGATTCAGCTTTCTGGGACTTCTTCACCTTGATGACTGAGCGTGCATCAACACATCTCCTGCTTATGGCTGTTATTTGGTTTGGTGGACCAGAATGTGGGTCTCCAAGAAAACTGTGTTCACGGCACAAAATGAATCAACCACAGGACAATGTGACAATCGGATTAGAAGTTTGTAGGAACTCAGAATGTAACTCAAACAACTGGTTGTCTTCTGGGTACAATCCTATATAAAAGCAAGGTTATCGAGCACCAATGTCATTTTGCAGTTAAATCACCCTCTTGCAGCAGCTACGTGGCTGTTTGTGGAAGCATTTCTGTTTCATATCTGTGGCTCGGGTCTGAATGTAAGCAGATTTATCATTTTTGATCATTTATCACACTCGGTCACTGTATTATCACAAACAGATTGCATCTAATTGTCAATTTGACCCCATTCAACTGCAAACTGAGAGCAGACTGACTTTTTTATCGCCTTCAAATCACTTTGAAGATCTCATCTGACTATGAGTGGTGATCTTACACAGTCTCACTCATTTTGGCCACACTGAGGTCTCCAGTTACTGTTTTGTTCCCTACTGTAACTGTAGCATAGGATATCAGTGACCAAACAACTAAACAAGAGGCTTCAACACAGTAACCCACAAACTTCAAAGTGGCTACTTCAGTCTGTTACAGACATTCTGTGGTTGAAACAAAGATCTTTTGGGTTTGTACAAAATTTGATTTTAAAGGTAAATACCACCAATCACCAAGTGTCCGTGGCCCTTTTATTCTTCAACAAACACTAACTTGATTTTGGGCTGTTTAGTCTGGCCCAAATGTATCTTAAAAAGGACGGCTGTTTTGGACCACATCGCCCAAATATCATCACAAAAATATGATCACGCAAACTTGCAGGAAAATTTTCTTTCCCAACAACTTTGAAAAGTCTCAGTTTCATTTGTTTTCTTTAATATTTCAATCCCAAAACTGACACCCCAAACACACAGTGAATGAATTTTTTCAATAGCTATTGAGATCTAACACCAAATCAGTTTCATCTACATATACATTTTGATTTCGCAACACACTGGACACAACTTAAACAACTAGCCTATAAGGAACAGTGATGGTCAGGTTCATATTCCATTCATCAACAGTGTGTCAACCCATCAATGCTGAACCTTTTTCAAAATCAATAATGAACCTTCTTGTTTCACACACTGGGCCATGCTTGGGGGCGACAGTTTGGAGTCAACCAGAGGTCAGAAAGCAAGCGCTGGCTGACTCCAGCGTGATTTCCTCTGACATCTGCTGACATCAACAAGTCCTAGAGGTAAAGCTGGTCTCTGTCTGTGCTCTTTTAGTGTCTATATTTACAAGCCAAAGCACAAACTTAGCTACACATCTGGTACAGCCAATAAATTCAGTATCTACTGTGCTAAAATGCCCTTGAGCAACATGCCAAACCCCTGCCCATCTCCAAGGAGGGAGCTCTGCTCAGTATCTGACCCTGTGCTCTGACCTCTACAACTCTGAAGAGGTATGAAGAAAGAATAGAGCATTCCTCCTTTGGGGATCAATAATCACACGCAGCGATGAGGAGATCTCGGAGCGTGTCGGCCCTTGTGTGCTGTAGCTTTAGGCCTGCTGCCACACAGAATCAGAGGCGTCACTGGGGTGCAGTGAAACAGCTGGGCCTGTGGTTAGAGCGTCTGCTCGGAGGCTGCAATCAGCTGAGCCCCGCTTCATCACCCGGTTCTTCTCGCTTCCTGACCTCGCTTACAAACACACACTCTATAAATGCATTCAGACACATTTGTGGAAACGCAGACACAAACATATACGCTGCTTTGAGCGCATATGTATGCTAATGACCACCTCCAGAACTCATAAAAGAACGGCACATCAGCACTTTCTACCAGAGACACGACGCAGTGTGCAGCATTCTATGGTCACAGAGCCTGGCAGTGCATTCAAGTACCTGTAGTTTGTGCAGAAAAGGTCAAATTTATGCAACGCACTGCTTTTTCCACAAACAGGCAACTGTCACATAACACAGTATTTTTGTACTTGCTTCTATTATTGCCTACACATGCATTTCTACAGGATTACTGCCTTCAAGAGCTTCTGATGAGGTGTCGAGACACTCAGCCAACACAACAGTTTTGGCAGAGCCTGACGGTTTCTGTGTGGGTATGTACGTGGAGTGAACATACTGTGGCTTTTCTGGCTTCGTGAAGATGATAGGGCCGAGCACTTCCACTGTACTTTACCATTGTTCCTTCGCTCTTGCTCCGTGCGACTTCCCTCTGCAGGCGAGCCACAGCCAACTTTTCCCTAAACCAAAGAAAAAGGAGATGGAGGGGAGAGAGAGAGAGAGGGGGGAAGGAAAATAAGAATGAGTCAGTGTGTGGCCAGTCAGTCAGCAGCCCAGTGTGCCAGGTCTGAGTGCTAACAAAGTGGCAAATCAAGAAGTACCCAAAAACATATTCATTCTCTACTAGTCCACTGATCCTGTAAGTGCTATGCTTGTGGGACTCTAGTATGTCTTAGAAAACGCAAACCATTCTTGTCCCAGAGTGTTTGATAATGCAATTTTATGAGAGGCCACCTGCATGTCTCCATTATCCACAAGGTAGCTCTTTGGCCTTGGTGCCAGCACTACATCTGTGGTTTCCAGATAGTTGGAAAGAGTCCTCAAAAGATCACAACAGAAGATAGGGAGGAGGAGGATGTTGGGTTTCCAACCAGGATCCCATTCGTTCCGTTTTCTTTGGACCTTGAACATTAATTAAATTTTTCCCTCTCTTTTTATCCTCACTTCTTTCACTGGTTAGGTTTAGGTGCTAAATACCTCAATGCACGCTTAATCATCCAGGTAAGTAAATCCCATGAAGTTGATTATGAAAGTCTTTAGACTAAAAAGGTTACTTGGATGAGTGACAAAACGTTTGTCCCAATAAAATGCATAAATTAGCATTTAGCTTCTAGCTTTTAATACAAAAGTCGCTTTAAAAAAGGCTGTGAAAGAAAACAGTGGCACAGGTTACATTATTTTGACTACGTGGAACGGACTTGCAATCTCATTGCCTTTGCATTCTTGCATTTGTTAATAGTGCAAGGAGACACATCAGAGAGTGACTCAGGTTGATTGCAATGCAACAGCAATCAATTTGAGTCAGACCGAAGTAGTTTGAGGCTGGTTGCCTCACACCAGGCGACCTGTGAAATCACCTTGAGATCAAAGCTGGTCACCCAGACGTTGAGGCTATTACAGGCTCAACCTCTGATCAGCTGGTTGTTGCAACTGGCTGCAACCAAAGAAAAATCCAATGCAGTCACCAGGCAACCACTCATAATTTTCCAAGCATACCAAAGGTGTCCCTCAAGGATCAATCCCGGAACCACTTGGATTTTTTTTACACGTCAAAAATTTTAGTCAAAATGTCACCAATTTAGTACATTCTGCTACAGTTAGCTATTAATACACTAAGGGACACCCAGCATGGGTACTTTTGCCCTGTCTCCCTTTCCTCATCCCCAACCAGTCATGGCAGATGGCTAAGTCTTGTTTTGCCAGAGGTTTCTTCCTGTTAAAAAGGAGTTTTTCCTCCCCAGTCTCTCCAGGTTCTTGTTTATAGGGGGATTCATAGTTGGGGTTTTCTCTGTATTATTGTGGAGTCTTTACCTTACAATGTAAAGCGCCTTGAGTCGACTTTTGTTGGATGAGAGATGAAACATCTTCAACAGAAAGACGTCCAGCTGCCAGACAATCCTGATATTCCTCCAATAGGATATCATGCCTCACAAACCTGAAACCACTTAGTCATCCTTTTATTTAGAGCAATTCTTGTTTTGTTTCCATCTTTCATCTTACTTTTATCTTACAAAAACATCAACAACTGTCTTCACACCTAAGACTCACTCCCTCTATTCGTGCGTAAAGGCTGTGATGAAAATAGAAAGAGAAGCCTCCCCCCAGCTGCAAAATCAAATTTATCATCATCAGAGGACACTCAAGCTCTCTACTGGGCAAATCAAATTCCTCGAGTTAGCTAATCATTTCTTGTTTACTAAGTGGTTGGTATCAGATATCCAAGATCAATATCAGCTCACTATACAAGAAACCAACACTTCTGCCCTCCATCTATCTCCAACTTTGGCAGAACCCACACACGCCTGCAAGCAAACCAGCAGACACACACATGGAAGAGGCGAGGTCGTCGGCTAACTACGCAAAACAGAGTTCGCGGTTCTATCCAGACAAAAATAGCTCAGAGGAAACAAAAAAAAAAGAAAAGAAAAAAAAAGCTGGGCATCCTCGCGCCAGACCCTACAGCCTTACAGGCAGACACACACACACTCATAACAAACTCTTCCACACAAATACGCACAGAGCTGAACAAAGAAATTGACTGTGCACATCCAATCCATTTCCCACGTGAGGGCATTCCAGACTTTAATGGGATAAATCTTGGCACACTAGCACGGATAATAAAAAACCCTGTTTTAAAGCCCCTCCTGAGGCATCCAAAACAACTGAAGCGGTGCTCCAGGACAAGCCAGACTGTGAATGTGTTTGCTGAAGGCTTGTCAGTATACAAGTGTTTCTATCCGTATTTCTGGGAAAACAACAAATGTGTAAGGGGATCAAAAAGCCTCCTTTGGCAGCGTAGCCTCTGAGTGAATCTGTTCAAGTCATTATTGTTGTAAATATAGTCCTCTACATGCATTACAAGAGGCACATGATGTGTTATCACCCACTTATTAATGTTTCTGCAGACCGGCTTGAAAGCCAGGTCTGCTAGGAGGTAAATATGATAGTTGCTTTAAAAAATGCTTGAAAATAATTAACTTACTTAAAAAAGACAGTAATGAGTCAAAAAAACCAAACCTAATAAATGAATTGAATCATCTTACAAAACCTTAGGTGTGCAGCTCAGGAGCAAAGTTTTTGTCCAAGTCTTGTTCCCGACTGTTTTGTCTTCACAGCACACCTAATGTGGGGCTGTGGGACCCAATAAAGAAGCAGATACACCAGACAGCCCCGAGTAATCCCAATCACCTGCACATTTTTCACATTTCTTCAACAATAGCAGACATCCAAACCCCCCAAAAATAGCTCATGAGTAACAACTCCTCACCGCCTCGCAGTCTTTGACAAGACGCCGTTGTTTCTGAGGGGCTTACCTGTCGGAGGGAAAACCCCTCGGTGATTAAGAGACAGCTGACAGAGGCGGGTGGTGATGGATGAATCGACCGTCTGGACTGAACAGGAAAAATACAAAGTGGGCTACGTTTCTGCTCCTGCTCCTGGATGGCATTCCCACTGCAGTGATTCCTCTAATGGGAAAACACTGATTAAGACAAAGGCGAACTAAACGAGCCGATTGTGAAACACGCACTGTGGCGGTGACGAATTCAGGAGGAAGTCAAGCAGAGTGCCGATGCTGTAAAGCAAGCAGGGGTGTGTGCGCGTGTGCGTTTGGGTGTGTATTCTGGACTTTTACTGCATTGGTTACTGCATTCATAAATTCCGTGTGAACGCATGCCCCACACCTGACTAATACACTCGTGTTTACATTACACAATGTGTCTCTTCCCATTACAGCACACTGTACACCATTACACCACCTTCATTAAAAAAAAAAAACTCTGGAAGTTCTCACTGCAGATATTGTTTTGTTAAACGGGACCGGCCTGGCATTCCTCCAGTCTGTGTTATGGCTGAGCGTCACAGCGCTGTAAAGGGTTAAGTTTCAGGCCACTTATGTACAGGCATGTTCCAGGAGCAACGGAGCATGAGCCAACTGCGCCCGGAGGCAAAAATCACCGCCAAATATAGAACAATTTGACATTCTGTGTTAAACGTAATTATAGTAATTGGCACGAGCGGTAGTCAAAACAGTATTCCAGTGCAAAACGCTCACTGGCGACGTCTTGCATCCAGTTGGCGCTGGTGTGGAATTATATGATATCTGAACTGCATTCAAGCGCACATGAATGCAATCTGTAATGTACTCTGTGTGTGTTTATGCCTGTGTTTAGACTGACATATTCCACTCTAAATTTGTCATGTGCATTTCAACCCCAATGGATGCGAGATCCATCACGTCGTAAACTTTTACCAGCTGTGTAAACTGGCCCCGAAATAGTCAGACAGAGTCCAACCTGACGGCTGTTAGAGTCAGGGACTTTATCTCAAGCCCATCTCTCGCAGAAGGCTCTAGTTTGGTATGCAAAGAGCCATGTTAACACATTAATTACGATGTTTTCATTTTTCCCTCCACATGTTCTCATGAATGTCGTCCAAACGGGTCAAAACGCAGGCACGCGGTCCCTAAACGCCTCATTTTAAAGGGTAATTCCATTTTATAACAAGCCGGGTCTTATTTTCTCAGTTATGGACGTTGTTTCGAGTGGTTATGATAACATTAACAAAGTTTTACAGGGGCTAGAAACATGAGCAGGCAAACAATCAGCCAACAGTTTGGACAGCGATGCAGCCAAATTATCAAAACCATACTGAAAGCATGTAATCCGTCACAGTGGGAAGACGCAAATAGAAGAGACAAGCCAGAGCCTTCCACATAAATCAGGATAATCTGGGTTTTGTTTATAACCTGTCAGATTGTTTGTGTTTATTGCCCATAGACTGTATATAAAAGATGTATGCGGCCACAGTGACATCACCCTTTTGTTTGTGGAGTTTTGGATTCTAGATCTACACCATTACAGCTGTCACCATCTTGAATTTTTGGACCTAGAAGAAAGCATGACAAAGCTCACTAATGGTTAGCTTAATGCGAGCAGCCCTAATAACACATTAGGGCTGTGTTATTAGGGCTGCTCGCAGGTACCCCCAATATAGCTGCAGAAGATTAGCACGCTGTAATCCTGTTTATTTTAATATGGGGCCCTTAGAGTGAGCCTCAAGTGGCCACTTGACGAACTGCAGTTTTACACACTTCCATGTTTGCTTAGATTTTCAGCCCTGGATATTTTGCTTATTACAAAAAAATGTCCTTTAAATGAGCTAAAAACATTTTCAGTGAGGCAGAAAAGTGAATGATTCTCTTTGGACTCGAAGCCCCAACTTTATATATTTCACACTTGAAAGCGTTTGTCTTCTTCATCCTGATCTTGTGATGAAAGCACAAGCTGACAGCTGACCATGTGCACACTTTCCACCTCCACTGAAACCCATCACGAAGCTTGGCTCAGTGAGTTTCAGCAGCCGGTAGCGAGAGGTGTGGGCCTCCAGTTTCTCCTGCTGATTGCAATCACCTGATAGCGGTGATGACTTACTAAAGAAGGGAATCCCACCAAGCACCAGT